CAATATTAATTAAAAAGAAAAAAAAAGCAACAACATTATAAAAAAAAAACAAAAAAAAAAAAAAAAATCCCTTTTTTTTAAAAAATTTTTAAAAAAAAAAAAAAAAAAAAAAAAAAAAAAGAAACGCAATTGCTAATCATATTGTGATGATAAAACAAAACGGATTTACAATAATATTTCTGCCACTAGTTAGGAATAAGGCAAATTTTAAAATGTTCAATAAATGAAAAATAAGTCACTTGTAAACAAAAGTCTAATCCAACAGGATTTTTATCATGTCAAACGACACTTGATATTTTCTAATGATGTTCTTAAGTTCTACCTGATTATGAATAAAACAAAGATTTAATGGAATTACGTTAACATCGAAAAACGCTACAAAATAAAATTTTTCTTATAACAAATACCTGAAATATATAACTTTAACTTCGTGGGCTTCGACTCCTACGACGATCATAGATTCTATCATCTTCGTACCTTCTTTTTCGGTCATAATTCTCTAATCTTTTGTCGTCATAACTACCACGGCGATCGTAGTCCTTTTCTGCCCTACGTTCACGGCTTGGAGTTCTGTACCTTCTATGTCGTTGATGTTCACGATCATAATCTCTGAGTCTATCACGTTCCCGACGATCATAATCATGATCACGGTACCGTCTTGTTCTTGAGGAACCTCTATCAGGACTACGGCTGCGAGTACGAGTACGGCTACGATACTCCCTTCCTTCATCATTTCGTCTCATAGAACGTTCCAATGATACTCTAGGATCAAGATCATATGATGGAGATTCTCTCCTTAATTAAGAGAAGTCATAGGAAATTTACATTAGCAATGAATTGAATGATATTTTATATGTATTCGAAAAAACGTTCTCTTTCGTTTTCTACCTCATTCCCCAGGAATCAACATTTTAAAATCCAGTCGCTTTTATATGCATATATGGGTTATAAAGCCAAAAGGCGCAACCTAAACACAAAAACAATTCAAGCATTGACCGGAAGTACTAAAATTCAATGCCTACCTTGGCAGAGGAGGTGGTTGTAACCTTTCTTTGAGTTTTTGGTCGATATCACGAGCAATAGGTACAGGAATACGAGGTAAAATAGTACCAAGCCATTTTTGTTCAGTTAACAATTGGCGGCACATTTTACCAATAGTTCTGATTTCAAAATAAGTTATTAGAAACATATGCCTTTAGATCCCAACTGTAAGAAATAATAACCACACAACCATGAACAGACTCACGATGAATAGTCGGAGTATACGAATATACTTCATAGAACATACATACATTGAGACCGGCCGTGGACCACCTTGAATTTGTACTTGTTCTTCATCCTCCAAGTATTCATCAAACCATTCCCATAAGTTTGCTGGTTTGCAAACATAACGAAGATATAAAAATCCTAAAGCTCTAATGTGTCTATTGAATTTATGATTTTTAAGATAATTATTAGTTTAACGTTAAGAAAAAGAAAAGATACAAAATTTAAAATGTACATATACATACGGAGAATCACTATGCTCAATTAAACCAGTCACCTGCTTGACAGTTAATCGAAGAGTCCAAAGTTTATATAGTAAGCAAAATGCTGTCGACGCTGTCGTCCCTTTAAGGAAAGGCTCTATAAAAAAAACAATAATAGTAAAGAAGCTTTTACACGTAAAGAAACTAGAACAAAAGCATTTAAAAATTTTGTTTACCAAGCGACTCGACTAATATCGAAAGCAAAGAAAAGCGAATACGTTAACGTTACAATCCAAATATGGAAATCAATGATAATAAGAAAGTTCTTACCGTGGTTATATATTTCATCAATCACTTCGTGATACGTTTTCAACTCACTATGTATAGTCATGAAGAGCTTAGGATCAGATACTGGAAAGTAAACATTCTAAAAATTATCCAGCCGAGACGACATACTCACTATAATTGCTTGAAATAAGGTGAGGCTTGAATATTCTGATAAAGAATATTATTTAAGTTCATTGTAGTTTCGTTGCCCCAGGTTTCCAACTTGTTTGACTGTTTCATTTTTGCTCAAGGTTCTCTCGTTATATATATTTAAAGTTATTCACTATCGACTTTTACTCCCTACTTTAATAATAACGAAGTGTATATAACGATAATAACGATAAATGATTGCAAACTCCCAAGGCGATCGTCATATTTAGTCAAAAAAAAATCACGTGATGGATCGAATTAATGAAAACGTCAAGAATTAGCATGATTTTGGAAAATAATGAAGTCACCAGGCTGATACGTAAAAATCTTATATTTATTCTTATATTTATAATGCAGTATATATAGTTCCGAAAATAAGCATCGCCCATCTATTATATTTTTTAAATTTAGATTGAACTATGTGATATCAATATTATATATCAGTTACACGATTTGTCACATGTAAATTTTTTTACTATATAGTTGTCCGAAGCTTTTGGCGAGGACTAGTAATTGTAGTCGATTTGGAAAATTAACTTTGTCGATTCTTGATTGAGTACCGTAATGCTTTTATGTGCAGTGGTATGATCAATTTTTTTTTTATAACTCTTGAACAAGCAAACCCATAAATAAAATTATATTTGTCGGATTCATTTTAGTGCGCTACGTCTTTTTTAGAGCCACAAAAATTGCGATTTTGGAATTTTGGGGCTAAAAAACAATGTTATACAATTGGTGCTTGACCCAAAATTAGTATGTGGAATTAGTATTATAAACTCACTTTCGACAAATGAGCTTCGTTTGTACCTCACACATACGTACCCGTTGCCAGTAGCAGGCCTTTAAAGTCAGGCGGGCCTGAGGGCCGGATTACCCGTCTGACTTTAAAGGCCTGTTATTGACGGTAGGTACGTGTAAGGTACAAACGAAGCTCATTTGTCGAAAGTGAGTTTATAATACTAATTCAAGCACCAATTGTAGAACACTGTTTTTATAGCCCCAAAAATTACAAAATCACACGGGTAATTTTTGTGGAGGCATAGCAGAGGACAATGCAAAATAGTTGTTTTTGATGGTTTTTTTTAATAAAAATATCGAGATCGTTAAAATTTTTTGTCTATGTGCATTGTATTATCAGTTATGCAATAATGACTGATAAAAAAATTCAGATACATTTTCGTTTTTAATAAAAATGCATCAAAAATGATCATTGAAACAAAAATAATAAAAAAAGGGCGTTATTACTTTAAGGAGCATGTTGCTTGTTTAAGAGTTATTAATTTAAATTTTGTAGCAGTGATTATCACCGCCTCAAAGGGGTCAGATATAAGGGTCCAAATTTTAGTTAGGGTGTATCCTTGATGTGAATTAGCTGTCGCTATATCAGATATAGTACGTACGTACGTACGTACGTAGGTTTTTGAGATATAATATTAATATTCTAAATTTTATATATTCTACTATACCCGGGTGTATCAAAAGTCCTTGTACAGGGTCCCTTTTTTTTTTTAAGTGACTTTATATAGTTATATGTATTGATCATGATGATAATTATCGTGGTCTCTATATATAAAGTTACTTAAAAAAGGGGACTATGTACAAAGACTTTTGATACACCCGGTATATACAGGTTACCCCCATTAATATCAACCTCGTTAATATCAACTTAAGCCACAAACCATTTTTATAAATTTTTATATCATATATATTAACTTCAATATGATTTCTCATTAATATCACTATCAACACCGATTCAAATAGGTCGATATTAACGAGGGTAACCTGTACGTATATTTACGCTGCCACTGATTACAAAAAAAAAATTGATTAATGATCATCACTGCACTTATACATGTTGGCAAAACTATTGGGATTTGGGATTGGGATTTGGGACGAATTTTTGCTATGTTTGGGAGGATTTATAGTTTTGCCAACATGTATACCTGCACTAAGATCATCGCCTTATTACCTTTAGGCACACCAATTTAAAACTATGTTAAACATAACCCCCCCCCCTCTTTTTGAGCCTCAGATATGGGGGTAATTAACATCATTTAATATAAAAAAACTGTTCAAAAAAATAGGTAAAAATTGAAAATGTCTTAACCACACGCAGAGTTTAGTCTCCCTGCTTTGGAGTTAAATTGGTCTGTTGTTTTTATTACTAATACAAGCTCTTCCATTCAACGATTGCACTAGAACAACCATCGAAATCAAAAAAAAAGAAAACCGAATTTGGAATTTCTAACACAACGTCTCCACCAATCTATTACCTTAATTAGAGGAACTGCCACCACCAAATCCCCTGACGAGAATGTAGGCATTTTAAAATTCAAAAATGCTTATATAATTTTAATTCAACTAAGAAAATATTATATTTTATATTATATACTACACAATTGTAAAGCGTAGTATGATTCTGATATAGGGCATTGATTATTGCATGAAAGAGTTTCAACTTAGAACTTATAATTGAGTTGATTCCATTCTATAGGCTAGATAATACTAAAAAATTTGATGTGTTTTCGTAACCTTGTTGGTTGGTATACGAAAAATTAATGACAACGCAAATTATACAAGTTCTCATGAACTATCTACACTGTTGCACTCAAAATCTTGTTCTAAGGATAATTCTTATGATTTTTTAAAAGTAAGTTAATCATTTACTGAGCTGTTTATTATTAAACGCATATTGAACTGATTATATATATTTATATAGTTTGACAATCATATGAAATGTACAATTGTAGGTAACAAGCTTAAAATATATGGATTGAATCAAAAAACGAATACTGAACGGTATTTCAATACGCTGATAATGAAGGTCTTTGACGATGCGAACTTTCACAATGACAATATTTTGCAAGATAAAGGTATTAGTAAAAATATGCAATCTTACATCTCAGATCTAGGATTGTCTAAAAAGTATAATGAAACGATTCTGAAGGTGATATTTACGGTATCATGCTTTACCATATGATATCTCTAATGAGGATGATGTCAAAGGTGCATTGAAAAGAACATGTATTCGATAACTAATATATCACTATATTGAAGAAACTTATTGGTGTTGAAGTGAGGATGAGATCAAAGAATAACCAAACTTTATTTATAAACAAGTTATTGTTATCAATTAAAATGCTATTATATGAAAGTTATAGTATAATTATATTTTAGGTCAAGTTTTTGGTTATTTAATTATATGTGATTTTGATAAGTTTTGTTAGTAATTAATTTTTAAAAATATAATTTTAAATTATATATATATAAACGAGGAAAGTATTCGGGTATACCTGAAGAATGCATATAAATATATGTCACATCGTAATTATGTCATAATAATTTCGAACTGACGGTTTCCTAAACCAGCTCTTATGGATATATCCGAAAAATATATATAAATATATATCACACCGGAATTATAATGTCATAATAATTCCGATCCTTACGTTCATAGCATTGAGGGAATCAGAGTCTAGATATGATATTTAACGATAGCTGATTAAACCTTCAACGTAACGATAACAGTTCAAACAATATGCCCATTGTTCATTATTAACTTATCTTTGATCAAACAATACGCCATTGTTATTGTTAACTTTGATTATAGTATAAAATAAATAACTTTGAGAATCGTTTCCTAAGAGAATACGCAAAAAAATTCTCAAACATATATATATTAGTAAAGTTGTAATTTCCCCTCCCAAAACTAGACGTTTGGCACATACGTATCTTATGTTTTATTTGTGACGATAAATGAAATATCTGTGTCTGGAGTAAAAAAATGTTTTTTATTTACCTGCTGTACACTTTTATAATTCATTTTAACAATCTTCGACCCCTTTCTAAATGATTCGAATTCCTTCTGAATAATAACTAAGCGTTAATGTGTATTTGTTGAGTCAAATAGTACAATACAAATTCCCATAGCTACTATCTCTGCCTACGAAAAAAAATGTTTTTGTCGGCTTCGAGTTCGCTCTTTTCCACCTACGAAACATGCATTAGCATATTTTTTCGGTTCCGCCAGTAATCCACCTAAAAAACACGTTTTTTTTACATGTTTTTCGGTTTCTCCGCCTACTAAATACGCACTACACGTATTTTCGGCTTCCTGGCAACCGCCCCGATCCACCTGAAGAAACATAGAAACATTTTCTCTGTCTCTCTCGGTTTCTCAACACCTACTAAACACCAAAAGTGTTGTTCGGTTTTACCCATCTACCGAAACACAAGTGTGAAACACGAAGTGCGTTTCTCGATTTAGCAG